AGGTCACGACCCCGCAAAGCCAGAACCGGATCCCCGACCCCGAGGAGGGACGGGTCAACCGCTGCTCCCCAACCGTGGGAACGCTGCCGGGGAGGGGGAGCGAGGCGACCTCCACACGGCACACAACACGAGCGACGCACGCACGCGACGCGCGCGGCGAGGCCGCGGTCCGCGGGAACGGCAAAGACGGGGAAGCGCGGGAAGGACCGCTCGCGGCGGGCACGGACGGTGGACGGGTGGGGCCCGGGAGCCCACCGCCACCCAGCCCCGCTCTTTCCGCTCGGTTCCACGCCCCGACCGAGGCGCGTACGCACCCTCGGGGGGAGCGGGGGAATCGGGGTCCCGCGGCACTCGGGCGTGCGCGCACGCGGCCCCCCTTCGTTCCCCACCACGGGTAACACATCTCAGGCTCCGACACGGCACGCCGGCTTCACGACACGCTCTCTTGCCCCGCGTGGTTCCTCCCCGGACTCGGAGCGAGGAGGCGCGGGCCGCAGCGGGCGACACAAACGCTCGGGTCTTCCCCCCCCAAAGACGGGACACGGCGAGGGGCACCCGGCCAAAGCTACGCGCATCGGGCGTTCAGGGCGTGCCGGGGCGACCCCAAGCACGCCCTCTCTTCCCATCGGATCGCTAGAGAAGGCACTTTTTCTCACTGAGGGCGGGCGGGACGGACCCGGCCCGACGAGCCTCCGGCCGCAGCAGCGCAAGAGCAGGGGAAGCGACACACGCACACCGCTCGATGATCTCGAGCGCGGCGAGGCGGGGGGGTCTGCGGTATCGGTAAGGCTTCCTTTCCGGGGCGCACTCTTGAGCGTTCGCGGACAGGGGGGACCGGACCGAGAAAAAGCATACTACACAAGAGTGTCCCCCGAGAGCCAGGCCTGCCTCTCCGGCAACACCCACCGGGTCTGCACCAGGCGGGGAGGCATTCTTACAGTCAGTCCATCAGACAGACCACCTTTAACGGTGAGAAGAAAATGAAAAAGGCCGGCCGCGACCGCTCAACACCACCCAACGGCTCACCGCCTACGGGAGAAGGCAGCGCGTGGTGGGCCGCTCGCCCGATCTCACGAGATAGCCGTGAGAGAGCCATCTTACCGCTCGCCTCGACCCCCTTACTTGATCCTCGGGACCACACACCTCGCAGAGGAACACACCGCTAAAGGCCGTACACCACGCGCAGGAGGCATACACGTCAGAGAACCGGGAAACGCCGCCGCCGCTCAGAACCGGGCACCTCTGAAGATCGGCCTGGAACGCTCCAGGAGCACCACAAGGATCACAAAGCAAGGCGCGTGCACACGAACCCGGTCGGGAGGGGCACGTAACACGGCATATCAGCCGACCCTCCCCCGGCTCGGAGGGAGGAGGGCCAAACAGACCCACACACGGTGGGCATAGCGAAACGCGCGACGGGGAACAAAGCCCCCGGCGCGCCTCACAGGAACCCCCACGAACCACAGCGAGGAGTGCGGGGGGGCTTTCACAGGGCTCAGGCCGGATAACCGCACCCCTGCCTTCCACACACCACCGGTAAAGGTGGGGAGGAGAGACGAGGGGCCCGCTGGCAGAACGAGAAGAGCGGCCGCCATTCGCCATGAATGTCCGTCCCTCGCCTGGCGCGGCTTAGGCCTCCGGCCCGAATGAACACAGGGCGAGCACACCACATCGATCAACAAAGCGGAGCCGGGAAGAATCGAGCGAGAGATCACCACAGACCCAACACATGCCGCAAAAAAAAGCAAAAAAAAAAAAAGAAAACCCTTCACACACCTCCACACCAAAAAACAGCGGCGGGGGGTCAACCAGGGAATCCAAGAAAAGGTGTGCACTCGGGAGGCACATAAGGCAGCAGAAGGGCCGGGCCACCCTCAACCCAAAAGGACTCATGGAGACTCGGGAGCTCCACAAGCTGGGAAGGGGGTGAGAAAAAACAGTGCGCTCGGGAGGCACATGGGAGCAGAGGACCATGGAGGAGACTCGGGAGCTCCACAACCTGGTCCCCGCCCTCCCAAAAAAGAAAAAAAAAAAAAAAAAAGCACCGGGACGGCAAGGGAGAAAAAGAAGCATCGAGAGACGGGTCCCACCATCCAAGCAGAACGGGTGACAAGCCACGAAGCGGGGATGCCTGACACGCTTCACCACGGGCAAAAGCAAGGCAAGGAAGCCGGTCATCTCAAAAAGCCGCACAGGAAAAGCACACACGGGCCCAGCCCCAAAAGGCAGCGAGACGCGGGCTGGGCTAGACGGGAAAAGTAACACCCAGTGAGGCTCAGAAGACAGACCGCCACCTAGCGTCCTTTAATGTCACCCAATTAAAGGACAGCGTGTCAGCACCTATCTGCAGGTACAATAAGGACAGATAGCAACCATTAGAAGAATGACAACAGGTACGGGGAGTCATTCACAGACCACACAGAACTCCTGAAAGTGAGGCTGGGTGAAATGTCCCAAAAATGTCCCCATAAACAAGAGAACCGACCCTCAAAGGAACAACTGGTCGACCTCATAACCATGAAAGGACCGAGAGAGCGAGGTGGACATGTCAGAAAGCCGGGCGCCCAGCCTCCTCCCGGCCGAGGACCCTGCGACCAGCCGCTAGGAATGGAGAAGGGCAAGAAGAAAAAACTTGGAAAAAAAAAAAATCTCGAGTCCAAGAAACCGGGGACCAGTGAACAGGGGAGCCGGGACCACCACCCTCCTCTCGGCCTCGACAACACGAGGCCCGCCGCTGGGCTCTCGCAAGACCGAGGGCAGGAGAAAGGGGCGGGGTAGAGCTCCGAGACCCCAACGAGTCCGGACCAGGGAGGCGAGGAAGCCGGCACCACGGCCTCCTCTCGGTCTCAGGATGGCAAAGCCCGCCACTGAGGACCGAGGGTTCCTGACAAGAGGAAGAAAATGAATAAAAAGCTCCGAGAGTCCGGAACAGGGAGGCGAGAAAGCCGGGACCACCGCCTCCTCTCGGCCTCAAGATGAGGAAGTCCGGCACTGAGGACCGATGGTTCTCGCAAGAGGAAAAAAAAATGTCCGAGACCCCAGCGGGGAAGCCGGGATCAACCATCGCCTCCTCTCGGCCTCGGGTCGCCGGGTCCCAGGGCTCTTAGAAGAGAGAAAAGGCAAGGGAAAAGCAACTTTTAAAGCCGGGGTATTTCACCGATCCTGGGCCCGGGAGGACCCGACACCTAGCGGGGGTACGCGAACGACTGAAGCCTTCTGGTCGACCCGCTCGAGTCTCCCAGCACCCTCTCCAGCTGGTCCCGTCACTCGGTTCCATCCCCAACGCACGCACGCATGCACCCATGGGTGACTTCCGGCACAACCTCCTACACAGAGACCGTTCCCAAGCACGACACCGACTCCGGGACACACCCGCCTGCCAGGCCGGGACTCTCGTCACTCTTTCCGCCTCACAAAAGCCGTTTCGCCCCGTCCTCGTCACCGACCGAGGACCAGGAGAAAAAGGCCACCGCTAGGGGGCGCCCGACAACCGACCGCCATAGATCGCTCGCTCGCTCGCTCGCTCGGCCGCGGCGGCGGCGGCGGCGGCGGCGTCTTCACCTTCTCTGGCGTGACAGCGTCCTCCCACGCTCACGCCCGGAGGTGGCACGGGCCCACAGCAGGACAGGGAACTCCCCTGTCGGTTCCCCCACCCCACCCCCGAACACGGTGAACGTGGGCCGGGCTGGACATTCGGGGCTACGAAAACGAAAGTACGACCGAGACCACAGGCAGCTAGGAAAACAGGCGAATCGATCGTTCGCTCGCTTGCTCACGGGAAACAAAGAGTGTGTCTGACAGGCCAGGGGCTTCTGCAACCATTAGGGCATGGTGAGAAGGAGGGACCGAGGGGGACCGAGGGGGACCGAGGGAGGCGGCAACGGCAGTTCCCTGCCATCTAAGTCTCCTTTCACCATGGCCACTGCTTGCTTGCTTGCTTGCTTGCTTGCTTGCTTGCTTGCTTGCTTGCGGTTCTTTTTCTTCACCCCACTCCCCACACCCTCAGCCCACACTTCTCAGACTAAATACCGAGTCGGAGAAAATTAAAACAGCCGTGGAATAGTTTTTTTTTAAATAATAATCATAATAATAATAATGAAATAAAAATAGTTTTGAAAAAAATCCCACTCGAATTTCATTTCCGGGAATAATATCGTCATAGTGATGTGTCACTTAGGACAGAAAAAAATAAACAGGTCACTTTAGTCATTTCTTGGAGAGGGTCTGTTTCCCCACCACGATGGTTCTCACTTGCTGAGTTGCTGAAGATGATCTCCTGATCCTCGTGTTTTCAGTTTCTGAGTGCTGCTGACATGACAGACATGGGCCCTCACACTCGAGTTTATGAGACACTACTGAGAGCGTGGAGCCCATAGGACAAGGCTCTGGCTTTCCCTTCCCCTCCCACATAAGCCAGATAGATAAATAAATAAATGCCCAGCAGCAGAAGCATGAAAGCAGCTTCTCAGACCCTTTAGAGCTCCTGAGTACTGGGGTTACAGTCATGGCAGAGGATATGACTAGGCCAGGGCTCCCTTCACAACCACCATCCAGGCCTGCCTGCCTGCCTGCCTTCCTTCCTTTTTTAAATGCCAGTTTACTAAAATTTTAGTTATTTTTAATTGCGTTGGGAGGCTAGAAATTTTTGGGTTTTCGGGAGAGGGCAGACATATGAAAGAAAGGAAGAAAGGAAGGAAGGAAGAAGGATCAGAGCAGTGAATATACAGGTACACAGTCCTTACACCAATGTTGACTGCAGATAGAAAAATAAGAGGAAGAAAAAAAAAAATAGAACGTCACCAAAAGGACAGCCTGGTCTATAAAAATGAGTTCCAGGACAGCCAGGGCTATTCCATGAAATTGGCTGAGTTCGAATCAGCAATTTCCCAACTCCAACAAGAATGTTTACTACAGGAAAGGCAACAGATGTACACATCAAGGAAGGCCAGTGGAGCTGTAGGCACACCCTTCACACCCTTTGAAACTTCTCTGTCCCAAGGTCACAGAGTTAGGAAAGGAAAATAACAACACGTCACTGAAGTCATTCCTAGGCTAGGCCTTCCTTCACAACCATTTGAAAGGATCAGAGCACTGAATATACACACGCACGGTAATTACACCAACGTGGACTGGAAAGACACCTAAACTAACAGACACACACACACACACACAATCCATAGCATTTGCTGCCTAGCAGATAAAATGAATGCCAGTGTCAGTAGGCACACCCTTCACACCCCTTGAAACTTCTCTGTTGCAAGGTCACAGAGTTAGGAAAGGATCTTGATCTTGAACTTTCCTTAATAGTGAGTCTGTGTGTGTATATCACACTCAAGCCAAGTACCCCTCAGAGCTCATGGAAGACAAAACAGAGCTCTAGAATAAGAGAGACGGGGGGGGGGGGGGGGGGGGGGGGAGGTTCACTCAAGAAAATGAAAGCAAAACCCTACACAAACCCTGGCACACAGTAAAATCAGTCCTATGAGGAAATTTGTAGCTCTAATTGCCTACTTTTTAAAAAGACTTCTAACCGGGTAATGGTGGTACACGCCTTTAATTCCAGCACTCGGTCTGGTCTCCAAGAGCTAGTTCCAGGACTGACTCAATTAGAGAGAACTAGAGAGAAACCCTGTCACAAAACAAACAAAGGAATAAAGTATTACATAAATACTTTATGGAAGAATAGATGGACAGATAGACAGACAGACAGACAGACAGACCCACACCCCATCTTCTGCCTTCTGAAGGTACCAGGCTCTCTCACAGGGGTCAGGCAGAAACGTAGGCAGTGTATGTGTGTGATATCAAGCAAGCCTATATGTGATATATAGGGTATGATAGGATAATGTCAGTATTAAATTGGGGTAGGTCTCAGGAGCACAAGAACCCAAATCTGTGCTGTACTCCCTGTCACCAGAAGAGGGCACTAGATCCCCACCATGTGGTTTCTGGACATTCCAGAAATTCCATCTCTCCAGTTCTCATCCTTTCATTGTTCCTCCTGCATGCCTACACCTAGTGAAAGAGTGGGCACCTTTCCTCCCTGCTTGTGTGTATCTGTGTCTGTCACAGCCTGGATAGCC